CCAGTCAGTCTGCAGCTCCAGCCCCGGCGGGGGGCGGTGCTCCGGGGGATCCAAGGTCCATGGGCTCAAAGCACGTGGGGTGGCGTAGGAGTGTGCGCACACGGTGCACACGTGTCCCTAGGCTGGGGTCAGAAGGGCAGCATCTCCATAAAGATCTTGTCGACGATGGGCGGAGGGGGCACCAAGTCCTCCAGCTTGAAGTAGATGTGCTGCAGGCCTTGGGTGCACAGGGTCCGTAGCTCGGGCAGCTTGCCCAGCAGGCGGGACAGGCAGCTGGCCGGCTGGGGCTCACCCGCCACAGCAGAGATGTGCTCCTTCAGGCAGCTGGCGATGCGGTTCTGCAGCTCCTCCACCCGCCGAGGCTCCTGTAGCCCGCGCCGGTCTGTGATGAGGACAAGTGTGGAGAGGCACGCAAAGGCAGAGACATCAACAACCAAGCTGTGCAGGGACCGAGAGGCCAGAATGCTGTCGATCCAGTCGCCGAAGCCCCAGCCGGTGTAGCACGAGGCCCGAGCAGAAGATGAGCTTCCCCTCGCCTGGCTTAGACCGGTAGGCCAGGCGGAGGATGAAGAGCTTTTTTATCCACTCATCTACTAATGGGTATTTGGGCTACTTCCAGATCTTGGCTACTATAAATCACACTGTGTCCACTTGATTTATCTACAAGGAAGTCATTGGAGACCTGGGCAAAGCGATTTCAAAGGCATAGCAGGAGGGTGACTGGGTCCTTGAGCAGACAAAAAGAAAATCTAGAGCACAAGGGGAGGGCAGTCCTTAGTTAGGAGCAGAGACTTCACTTCTGTTGTAATTGAAAGTATGAGAGAAAAGGGAAGAAAAGATGGCTGCAGGTTCAGGTTTAGCTTATAGGTTTGATGGCAAGAAGTGGAGAAAGCTCACATCTGGTAGATTCCTTCTCACTCTCTTTTTTTTTTAAACTCAGCCGAGGATATGTTAAGGTTGAGAGAGAGAGAAATGTGAGAGAGAAGCATGGATCCGTTACCTCCTGTACAAGCCCCAACCTAGGTATGTGCTCTAACCAGGAAACGAACCTGCACCTTTTGGTGTATCGGATGCTCCTCCAACCAAATGACTGACCCAGACAGGGCTTTTTTTTTTTTTTTTTAAAGGGAGGTTAAAAGTCATTTGTTAAGTTTCAAGGGAGAGGTTTGAAAAGAGTAAAGAAGATTTAAATAACCACTATGGAAGATGGGTAAGAGAACTAAACAGGAAAATATAAAAGGCACAATTGAGTAATATTTAACCTCCCAAAACTGATTAGTTTCTGGAATGCATCCTACTGAAATATATACCTATGTCTGACATGTGCTGTTTCTTCACTTCTTCTGGGGAGTTCTATTTACACTTAAAAAAACAACTCTATCTAGACTTTCCTGACACTCCCCTAACTACTCCCCGTTATCATCCTCCTCTGTACATATTAATGTTTTCCTTTGTACACAATTTACTACTACCCTTACAGCCCTATTACAGTGGCTGTCTTTATAGCTCTATAAGACTATTTCCCCTACTAAAATGGTGAGCTACTTGAGGGTGGAAACTGCCTATATACCAGGAACTAAAAATTTCACTCAACTGAATTTAAATTAAGATACAAAGATATATTAGACAGAATCTAACCTACAGAATCTAACAAAATCTAGTTCAGAAAACACCACCATTAGTATTGGCTGGTGTGGCTCAGTTGGTTGGGCATCACTCTGTGCACCAAAGGGTCACCAGTTGGATTCCTGGTCCAGGGCATATGCCCAGGCTATGGGTTCCATCTCCTGTCGGGGTGTGTGTGGCAGACAACCAATCCATGTTTTTTCTCTTACATGGATGTTTTTCTCTCTTTCTCTCTCCCTTCCTCTTTCTAAAAATCAATAAAGGCATATTTTTTTTTAAAAAAAGGAAAACAAAACCATTAGTTAAGTTTTGACAAAAGTATATATGTTATGAGAAGCCAAGTAATTACCCTAGCTCCGTGGTCGGCAAACTGCGGCTCGCAAGCCACATGCGGCTCTTTGGCCCCTTGAGTGTGGCTCTTCCTAAGCCTTAGGAGTACCCTAATGAAGTTAATAACAATGTACCTACCTATATAGTTTAAGTTTAAAAAATTTGGCTCTCAAAAGAAATTTCAATCGTTGTACTGTTGATATTTGGCTCTGTTGACTAATGAGTTTGCCAACCACTGCCCTAGCTGGTTTGGCTCAGTGGACAGAGAGTAGGCCTGTGGACTGAAGGATGTGGGTTCGATTCCAGTCAAGGGCACTTGCCTGATTTTTGGGCTCCATCTCCAGTAGGGGGCATGCAGGAGGCAGCCCATCAATGATTCTCTCTCATCACTGATGTTTCTATCTCTCTCTCACTCTCCATTCCTCTCTGAAATCAATAAAAATAAGCCAAATAATTAAGGGCAATAACAACATATACAACAGTCAGAGAAAACAATTTAGAACTGTCAGATGTAAGAAACACCCAAATCCTGTAAGAATTTTCATGTGTTTAAGCCAAACTGATGACAACTGCCAGGAAGCAAAATCTCAATGGATTTGAGAAAATGCTCCAGAGAAGACATAAGGGGTTACATGAAATCCATTGGTGGTAGATTAGGGAGGCAGAAGAAAGCAAAGCTAGGAAATCTCTAAGATTGGATAAAGGGTAAAATGAAAAGACAAATACTTCTTTTATGCAGGGCGTGGCTATACAGTTAAGCCTCGGACTGAACAGTTGGCAAAGTCACAAACAAGTCCCAGCTTAGAGGGCACAGTCCTCTTAGCATAATTAGGCTTGACCTTATGACGCTCTCTAGATCTTATCTGGGCAGCTAATGGGCTGAGGGAGATACAGCAAGTGCTGCCAAAACGAGTGAAACTCGTAAGAACATTGTAACTATGGTGACCACTACCTTGTTTACCTCTGGCTATAAAATAAAGGCTCAGCTTGCCTCTGGATCTCTCTCTGTGGCCTCAGCCAGGCACAGGAAGATCCATCTACCCAGCTTATTCTCTTTGTCTTTTCTTCATCCATTCGCTGCCCTCTGGCTCGGCACACTTTTACATTGGTGGGTACTGGATAGTTAACAAGTAACACAGCAAATAGAGATGGTATGTGGGAGAACAAGATAACAATGAGGGGGTTCTGTGGTCCGGTGTTCTGGTGGGAGATTGTGCCCTGAAGGGTATGGCAAAAGGGAGTTACTCTGACATTCCAATGATATGTTATTGTAGATGCAACAAGACAGTAGACAGGCTCAGTTAAAGATTGAGCTTTGTCAAGAAAGACACCAGCCTAGGACATGACTAACCATCCCAATTCGTTTTCAGTTAGTTTTAATTGCAGACCATCCTATGTGGTTACTTTAGGTCTCTGAGTTTGTATGGCTTACCAGGCAGGCCTCCCCTGAGCTTGTCAGGTTTAGTTTGTGCCCCCCCCCTTTTTTTTAATATATTTTATTGATTTTTTACAGAGAGGAAGGGAAAGGGATAGAGAGTTAGAAATACTGATGAGAGACAAACATCGATCAGCTGCCTCCTGCACACTCCTCACTGGGGATGTGCCCGCAACCAAGGTACATGCCCTTGACTGGAATCGAACCCAGGACCCTTGAGTCCGCAGGCCGACGCTCTATCCACTGAGCCAAACCGGTCAGGGCTGTGGCCCCTTTTTCATCCACAGAACTTTCATTTATAATCTACTATGGTCTCCAGATGTTTGCATATGATTCTTGCTGTGATGTTCAATTCTGCACCTACTATATGCAAGGTGATGCTATTAACAAACACTGTGGAATACAAATAGTAGTTTTACGATGAGGTAGAAAAGATTAAATTATCAAATTATTTTAATACATGGTCGAATGTGACAATTCAGAAAGAAAATGAAGAACAGATTAGAAGGGTCTTAGGACTCTGAACTTGATTCTGAAGAATAAGAGATGTGGGGCATGTTGACTGAAGTAATACACCTTAACGTGCTTCTCAGATGTATTCTGTTGAGCTTATCTTCTAACATCTAGCAATTTCTATCCAAAACTGACAATAAGCCTGACTATTACATTCAATTCCTATCGTTCATCCCAGCCTGAACGAATGCTCCAGGAGTCCTCAAACTTTTTAAACAGGGGGCCAGTTCACCGTCCCTCAGACCGTTGGAGGGCCGGACTATAGTTTAAAAAAAAAACTATGAACAAATTTCCTATGCACACTGCACATATCTTATTTTGAAGTAAAAAAACAAAACGGGAACAAATACAATATTTGTATTTGCATGTGGTCCGCGGGCCGTAGTTGGAGGACCCCTGTTCCAAACCCTCTCCGACGGCTGTGGATAAACGCCTTTAAGGAAACAAGCGAACCTGCAGGAGATGCCACGTGTGCGGCCCCAGAATGTAACAGAGGGGACGTCCTTACAGGTAAGTCCCTCTTTCTCCGGCGCCTGCCGTCTGCTCTCGTCCGACACTTTTCAGGGGATGAGACGCTTCACCCTTCGGCCAAGACCCGCGGCCCCGGCCGGCGGCTGCCAACGCGCGTCCCCCGTCCCGGGTCCCAGGACTTCAGGGAAGCCCCGGGCGCGGCGAGGGTGGAGCTGCCAGGAGGAGCCGCCAGAAGCCAGCTGTCCCAGGGCACGAGCCGGCAAGGCCAGCACCCGGGCGCCGGGCGCCGGGCGGAGGGGAGTGGTCCCGTCGAGGCCGGAAAACTTTCCGCAGAGCCACGGGTTAGGCCCCCCCCGGGGCCCGGGGCGGAGCAGGGCAGCCCCTCCGCCCCACGACCCGCCCCCCCGGCCTCCTTACCGTCCTGCAGAAGCTCCCGGACAGTCGCTGCCGCCGCCCGAGAGCCCAGCGCTCCGGCTCCGGCCCCAGCGCCGCCGCCGTCCTCAGCGTCCATGTTGTCAGGTCCCGCGTGATGACGTCACGGGCCTGCCCAGCCCCAGTGGTGACGCCCACTCCCGGCGCCACCCGCTCCGCCCGGCCCACGGCTCCGGACCTGCCGGGTGAGTCGGCTTCATCGGCCGCAGCTGGACGGGTCCTGACTGGGAGCCTGCGGGTCCCAGCGCAGCCAGGAAGCCGGAGCCCGGAGCCCGCGGGCAGCGCCGCCCGCGAGGGCTGGTGTGACTCCCGGGCCGCAGAGAAGGTGGGCGCCGGGACGTGGCCGCAGCGCTTATCGCTAAAGCAAGTATTTAACCTCAGAACGAGGGCCCCTCGGAGGCCGGAGAGGAGAGCGGGGGTTTGTGGGAGTTCTGCCGGCTTTCCCCGGGCACAGCTGGAGGAGCTCTGCCGGCTTTCCCCGGGCACAGCTGGAGGAGCTCTGCCGGCTTTCCCCGGGCACAGCTGGCGGGAGCTCTGCCGGCTTTCCCCGGGCACAGCTGGCGGGAGCTCTGCCGGCTTTCCCCGGGCACAGCTGGAGGAGCTCTGCCGGCTTTCCCCGGGCACAGCTGGCGGAGCTCTGCCGGCTTTCCCCGGGCACAGCTGGAGGAGCTCTGCCGGCTTTCCCCGGGCACAGCTGGAGGAGCTCTGCCGGCTTTTCCCGGGCACAGCTGGAGGAGCTCTGCCGGCTTTCCCCGGGCACAGCTGGCGGGAGTTAGAGGTTAGTTACCCAGCTTTCTCTGTCCCACGCCCGGATTCTCAGCCCTGAGCTAAGGCAGACGGGAAAGGCCCGGGAATGCCAGCCGCCGGGGTGGGTAGTGGGAATTAGGGAGAGCCCGGAGTCGGTGCAGAAGGAGGACCGAACCAGGAAAGAACACGTGCACTCAGTCTCTGTCCTCTCGCCCAGGAGGTCCGACCTGCTTTTCTGCTTCCGCTCAGTTTCAGCCACGTGCTTTGAGCGATGCCAAACTTGCTCATATATATTACAAACGGATGGGCTTTCCGTATCTCAACCAACAGTGCTGAAGCTGTAAAATCCAGTTAGTTCTCTTGCTCTGGCCGGTTTGGCTTCCTGGATGGAGCCTCGGCCTGCGGACTGAAGGGTTCCGGGTTCGATTCTGGTCAGGGGCACATGCCCGGGTTGTGGGCTAGATCACAATTGGGGGGCATGCCGGAGGCACCCAATCGGTGGTTCTCTCTCATCATTGATGCTTCTATCGCTCTCTCCTCTCTTCCTCTCTGAAATCAATAAAAATATTTTTTAAATGAAGTTCTCATCTTCTCCGCTGCTACATCTGCATTAGTTATTCACCTAGATTTCTCCCAAGATAAATGCTGATAAATTAACAGAGCAACCACGTATGTAAGAAGGTTAATTTAAACATCCTCCTATATAATAAAAGGCTAATATGCAAATTGTCCCGTCAACTGGGAGTTTGACAGAGAGTTCAACTAGGGGCAGGGCCCGCAGGCCAACCGCCTTTGACCCCCTACCCCTGGCCAGCCAGACCCCACCTGTGCACAAATTCGCACACCGGGCCTCTAGTTTCTTTATAAAAAGAAAATGTAATACAACTTTATATACACACAGGGAACTACTTTTTCCCCCCAAATCAGAGTTAGGTGGTTCTCTTAGTTCTGCTAAGAGTATTTCAAGAAGTTGCAATAGTAGTAATTACCCTGTGCTAAACACTTTTCTAAGTACTTTATAAATCTAAATGCATTGAATACTTAAACAGCTCAGGTGAGCAAGTCTCATGGTACACCGCATTGTGTTTTCTCTCTTTTTTAAAACTATGTTTTTATTGATACTAGAGGAAGGGAGAGAAACATTGATTGGCTACCTCCTGGGGATGGAGCCCACAACCCAGGCCTGTGCCCTGACCTGCATAGAACCAGTGAACTAACTCTAGGAGCATGGGACTAGCTCAACCAACTGAGCCACACCCAACGAGGACTTGCTTTCTCTGTCTCTGGTGTTTCCTAATATCATTTGTTTGATCTCAATCGTGATAGGCTTGATGGTTTTGAATAGAGGTCAAACAAATTGTCAAGGGCGGTGTGCTCAGACTCAGGTTTCATTATCTGAAATACACAAAATTTAAATCTTTCATGTTAATAGGGTTATCTTTGAAATATAAAATTTGTTTTTCTTTGCTTGGCCTTTCCACTGGATGGTACCCACAATCCAGGTTTGTGCCTTGACTGGGGATTGAACCAACAGCCTTTCAGTATAGCTACACTGGCCAGAGCTGCACCGCAAGAATTTAAAAAACATGCAATTTAGTCAGAGGCACTGACCTCTTCTCCAAGATTGTCAAATAAAAAGATAACAGCAGCCAGCACAACAATAGCCGTCTGGTGTGAGTGAAGCAAAATTACACCTGCTCTGGCCTGGTAGCTCAGCTGGTTACAGCATCATCCCAATATGCCAAGGTTGTGAGTTTGATCCCTGGTCAGGGCACGTACAAGGATCAACCAATAAATTCATAAGTAAGCGGAACAAATAGATGTTTCTCACCTTTCCTCTCTAAAATCAGTAAATTAAAAATATATATTTTAGCCTAAACCGGTTTGGCTCAGTGGATGGAGCGTCGGCCTGTGGACTGAGGGGTCCCAGGTTCGATTCCGGTCAAGGGCATGTACCTGGGTTGCGGGCGCATCCCCAGTGGGAGATGTGCAGGAGGCAGCTGATCGATGTTTCTCTCTCATCGATGTTTCTGACTCTCTCTCTCTCTCCCTTCCTCTCTGTAAAAAATCAATAAAATATATTTGAAGTCACAAAAGCCAACTTTAAAAATTATACCTATTTTTTTTGTCAGATTGGAAAAATAAGTATTTTTTGGTGTGCTGCAGAAGAGCATGTGTGCCATGAGATGAAAAAGGTTGAAATCACTGCCCTGCATTATAAACTCGAAAAGAATCTTAACAGGTATGTAAGGCCCATACCAGTCTAGGCCCTCTCACTCTTCAGTTCAGTTAGAACTCAGACAACACCAAATTACTAATGGTTCACGGAAAACATCCAGCATTTTCCAGCATCTGGTTTTATACTGTTGTCTGTAGCTGGACACTCCCCCATCTCCCACGTAGTGTCAGCTGACGCTTTCCTTCCTCCATTGTTGACTCCCCTCACTTCTCTAGACAGTTATTTCCACAGTGGTTAAACTGTGTGCGTGTGTGTGTGTGTGTGTGTGTGTGTGTGTGTGTGTTGGAGCTATTGTGTATGTCTAAAATGTTTTTTAAGGATATAGGAAATGTATTTTCATCTCTTTCCAACATATAGGAGGAACTTAATATTTGTTGAATGAGTAAATACATGTTCATGCCTTCAAAAACTCATGAAGAGACTGATATGTGTTATACTCTAGAAAAGTAATTGCAAATTGCACATAATAACATAACAGAGGAATGGGTGTAGTAGGTAAATAAGATCAACTCTATTTGGGATTCAGAAAAGGCTGTCAGGATGGGGGATTATGAGTATGTACAGAAACTGGGACAATGAAGATGTGCTCAAGATTTAATTAAAGGTACCACTTGGTTGACACACTTAGGGGAGATGGAGAAGTAGAGGGAACCCTAGGTTTCTGACTTGGGTGAGTAGGGGTGGGTGGTGATGGCATAACCAAGATATGAAATGCAGGAGAGAAGAAACAGGTTTAACTCGTGAAAAGAACTACTGTTTTTGTTGCTTATACTCCATATACGTGGCTTACGTCATTCTAATGAATTTTTATTATAAAAAAGATTAGATGCCAATAACTCTGAATTTTTAAGTCAGGCTAATTAAACAGTGATTAGTAAAACTAGTTTTTTGTGTTTTTTTTTTAATTTTTACTCTTTTTTTTTTAAATATATTTTATTGATTTTTTACAGAGAGGAAGGGAGAGAGATAGAGAGCCAGAAACATCGATGAGAGAGAAACATCGATCAGCTGCCTCCTGCACACCCCCTACTGGGGATGTGCCCGCAACCCAGGTACATGCCCTTGACCGGAACCGAACCCGGGACCCCCCAGTCCGCAGACCGACGCTCTATCCACTGAGCCAAACCGGTTCTGGCTAAAACTAGTTTTTCATATTCCAACTGTACATACTACCTAAGGAAATTGAAATAATTGGTTTATGTTTAGGTTACACCAGTACTTTCAGTATTAGCCAAATAAAAAATTTCATGTTGAGCAAGTTAACCTTCCTGAAGTTGGTCCATATCTGTTTCAAACTTCCTAAGGGCAAATATTGAAATATGAAAAGCAGCTAACAGTATGAAATTATAGAATTTTAGGTATAGCAACTATAAAATACTATGAATTACTGAATTTAATCATTTGTTCCTCTTTCAGTATAAAAGTGATTTACTATGTAGTTATATATTTATATAATTGAAATTTTCACTAGATACTAGCACATTTAAATTTTTAAAATAATAAAAGTTGGTGGGGTCCTTTGCCTTCTGATTCAGGTACAAAGAATAGGACTTGAGAATAAGAATAAATAGTAAATATACCAGTCTATCTTTGGAAATGCTAACTACTACTTAAAGTTGTTCAATTAATGCCATTTAACTTTCCTGGATAAAACTTTAAAAGTGCGTCATACACCGATGATAAATGGAATTATTTCAATCAAATTTCCTGGTTTATCATTGCCAAAAACTAAAAAATAACATGAAAAAGTATAACCTGATATACCATAAAAAAAGATTTTGTAGTTTTCAACATCTTGATTATTTATTAATTTGGACAGAAAATGTTACTATAATGAGTTAAGTATAGAATTTGAAACTGTTAGTGTTTGACATGAACAAGCATAATCTGTACAGAACATAAATATCATAATTTCCCAAAGTGTTAAAACTATCAGTGACTTGTAAATAGAGGCAGAATTTTGTAATATCCTATTTGATACTGTGAAAAGAAGCTAAAAGGACTTCGAAGCCCACTGGCCTGATGAAAAATGTGTGTTCTTGGCAATTGAAATTGTTAGAATGATAGGAATTCATCTAATAAAAGTACCTTTTCTCTATGTAAACTGATTGTGGGGTTTTTTTCCCAGATTTGAAACAAATTTGTGTTCATGAAGAATGACTGCATACAAACCACAATATGTCAAGAAAGAAAAAAGATCCAATAGAACTGTTTCATTCTGGGCAGCTGGTAAAAGTCTCCGCCCCAATGGTTCGATATTCAAAGTAAGTATTGTTAAATGGTGATTTCCTTTTTATGCTCTTACTTTTTAAAAGTAAGGCCACCTCACCACATGTCATCTTCCAACACTTAACTTTTGAATCATGATCAAGGCTTGAGTCCTGGTGTTACCACTTGCCTAATATGTGTGTGGTCCCTCCCCAGCTGGCAACCTCCCGTGTCCCTCCCTGGCCCCGATCGTGCACCGGTGGGGTCCCTCAGCCTCGCCTGCACCCTCTCGCAATCTGGGACCCCTGGAGGAATGTCAGAGAACCAGGTTTGGCCTGATCCTGCAGGCCAGCCCGAGGGACCCCACTGGTGCACGAATTCATGCACTAGGCCTCTAAGTATATCAGAATTTCCTTTTTAAGGCTGACTGACATTTCATTGTACATATATATCACATTTTGTTTATTCATTTATTAATTGATGACCACTTGATTCCTTCCATCTTAGGCTATTGGGAATAATGCTGCTATCAACATGGATGTGTAAATATCTCTTTGAGAACCTGCTTTCATTTATTTTGGGCATATGCCCAGAAGTGGAATTGTGGGATCATATGATAATTCCATTTTTATTTTTTTGAGAAAACTCCTTATTGTTTTTCATAGCATCTATACCATTATACATTCCCATCTGCCATGCACAAGAGTTCTGATTTCTCAACATCCTCACCAACACTTGTTTCTGTTTGCCTTTTGTTTTGTTTTATTTTTTAGAATAGTTTATTGATTTTTAGAGTGAAAGGAAGGGAGAGGGGGATGAAGAGAGAGAAACATCGATGTGAGAGTGCACCATGGATCACTGCCTCCTTCATGCTCCCTGCCATGGATCAAACCCCCAACCAAGGCATGTGCCCTTGACCCGAAATAGAACCGTCAACCTCCTGGTGCATGGGACGACACCCAACCAATTGAGCCACACTAACCAAGGCATTTATTTGTTTGTTATTATAGCCATCCTAATGGATATAAAGTGGTATCCACTGTGGTTTTGATTTGTATTTCTGTAGCGATGTTGAGCTTCTTTTCATGTGCTTTTAGCTATTTGTGTATCTTCTCTGGAGAAATGTTTTTTTCAAGTCCTTTGCCCATTTTTGAATCAGGTTGTTTGTTCTTTTGTTGTTGAGTTTTTGTTTACTATTGAGTTTTGAGAGTTCTCTATGTATTCTAGGTACTACTCATCAGATTTATGGTTTGCAAATATCTTCTCCCAGTATACAGCTTATCTTTTCATCCTCTTAATGAACTGTCTTTTGCAGCGCAAAAGATTTTTTTAATAATTAAGTCTAATTTATCAGTTTCTTTCTTCTGTAAATTGTGCTTTTGGTGTGAAGTGTAAGAAATCTTTGTGTAGCTCTGGATTCTACAGATTTTCTTCTATTTTTTTCTCTAAAAGTCTTACAGCTTTATGTTTTACACTTAAGTCCATGATCAATTTTGAGTTATATTTTTGTAAGTGTGAGGCTTAGGTTAAGGTTTTTGTTTGTTTGTTTGTTTTTTGCTGTAGAAGTCTAATTACTTTAGCACCATTTATTGAAAAGGCTATTTTCCACTATTTAATTACTTTTGCATTTTGTCAAAAATTTATTGGGAGTATTTGTATGTCTCTTTATCTGGATTCTTTGTTCTGTTCCATTAATCTATGTGTCTATTCCTCCAACAATACCATACTAGAGCCAGCTATATAATAAATCTTGAAATCAGGTAAACTGAGTCTTCCACTTTATTTTTCTTTTTCAAAATTGTTTAGCTATTCTAGGTCATTTGCTGTCCTCATTTTATGATGATGTTGTCTATATATACAAAATATCTAGCTGAATTTTCACAAGAATGACATTAAATATTCATATCAACTTTGAGAGAATCGAATTCCTTACTATGCTAAGTCACCCAACTCATGAAGACAATATGTCAAGATTTATTTAGATCTTATTGGATTTCTTTCATCACTTTGTGTAGTTTTCAGCATGTGAGTTCTGTATGTGTCTTGTTAGATTTACACCCATTTATTTCTCTCTTTTTGAGTGATTGTAAATAGTATTATACTTTTAATTTTGGTGTTCATGTGTTAATTGCTTGTATATAGATATAAAATTGATTTCGTATGTTAATCTTATATCCTGTAACTTGAACTCACTTTTTGTTCTAGGAGCGTTTTTTGATAAATTCTCTGGGATTATCTATGTAAACAATTATGTCATCTGCAAATAGGGACAGTTTTCTTTCTTCCTTTCTATCATATGCCTTTGATCATGCCTTATTACAGTGACTAGAAGTTCCAGCACTGTGTTGAATAAGAATGATGAAAGCAGATATCTTTGCTTTGTTCTTAATCTAGGGGGAAAGTAATCTATCTTTTACCTGTTAGTATAATGTTAGCTGTAGGACTTTTTGTGGGTGCTGTTTATCAAGTTGAGAAAGATCTCCTATTTTTCTGAGAATTCTTTTTATGAATGAGTATTATTTTGTCAAATGCTTTCTCTGCACTGATTAATATCATGATTTTTTTTTCTTTAGCCTATTAAATGGTAGATTACATTGATTCTGAGTATTGAACCTTCTGTTTTAACTGTTGTTTTTCTGACACCACTACAGCAGGGGAAAGATGAGGCACCACCTCATTACAATCAGGTGGAGGTAGAAGTCCGGGTTCCCCATTTGGTCTCCTTTGACACTCTGAGGGCAAAGGGCTCCTCATTACTGCTGAGCAGCGGGGAGAGTTCCAGGTGCACATGGAGTGGGTGACCTGGTAGCTCCTGGGCATTGAAGAAAGTCCTGGTTCTATTCGAAGCATGCTCTGATACTACTCCCTGTGGGGAGGGAGGAGGAAGTCCAGACTCCCCATGAGGTCCCCACTGATATCTCTGAAGGCACCTTGTTACTTGCCAGCAAGGATTCAAGTCCCAGCTACCTACCTGGCCTTTTCTGATACTACCTTGGCGGGTGTTGGAGAACCTTGTCACAGCCTTGGAAAGGTAGAAACCGAGGCTCCCCACTCAACCTTTGTGGAGGGGAACCCACAGTTGTTTGTTCTTGGTGTTTGGCTGGAGTTGAGCTGCTATTGTGTACAGTTTTCTGTCTTGCGAGGCTGACCCTTTCCTGGCTGTTTGGCTAGGGAGAGCAGACTTGTTGAGGCTCTTTTGTTTGCATATGTTGGTATTTCCAAGTTGCCAGCTTCTTCAACTCCAAGTCTGGGATATTTGAGGTAAAAAGAAAACCCAAGAAACTCACCATTGTTATTCCTCGGGTCCTGAGTTCACTAGCCTGTTTTCTTCTCTCCACCTTTGAGAAATTTTCTCTTTTTTTTTTAATAAATAAAATCCAGGGGTTTTAGTTATACTAAGCAGGCAGTATAGGGGAAAGTACATCTCCGTCTTCTAATACATAGACTTTTCCTCTGATAAATATTTAATAGTTAACTAAATGAAACTTGGAAGTACATATGATTGGGGTGATTTCTAAACGTCTAATTAAAGTTTTATCCCTTTACAGGTTAGCTTTTAGAACACTAGTAAGAAAGTACAATTGTGATCTGTGCTACACACCAATGATAGTGGCTGCTGATTTTGTCAGATCTGAAAAAGCCAGAGACAGTGAATTTACCACAAACCAAGGTATGTGAAATTCAGAGTTTGTTGACTTGGTAAAACTTAAAAATCCCAATTCAGAGATTTTATTTTTTAATCTTTTAGTATTTAATGTTTAATAAGTCTTTGTAAAACACATTTTTACTGAGGTATCTTCAAAATGGTATACAAAATACTAAGCCTTCCTTAGGGCCCACATTCTCTCACCTAGACTATTAGATTAGATTCCTATCTCACTGCCCCCACTCTTGTCCCAATCTAAACTATCCTCCAAACAACCCAAAGTGACCTTTCTAAAATGTAAACTTGATCACTTCTCTTAGACCTCTTTTTGCCTAAAGCAGTGATTCTCAGAGTGTGATTCCCCAGACCAGCAAGACAAGCTGCATCTGGAAACTTGTTAGAAATGAAAATTCACTGCCTCAACTCCAGGCCTACTGAATCAGAAACTCTAAGCCTTCCAGATGATTCTAAGCTTGCTAAAGATTGAGAACCACTGGCCCAAAGAGTAAAATTCTAGCACCTGTGAATAATATGTAACATTCTTCATGATAGCCTCTGAATACATCCTCAGCTTTCTTTATCTTCCATTAGTTTTTCTCCAGAGCCCACTGACTTTATTACTCACAAATGCTAAGTTATTTTAAGGCCCATGCTCTATTCTCTCACACTTCTCTACCTAGAATCTCCTTCTCAGCCATGCTTATCCCTTATATCCCTATTTCTCTGGCAAACAACAGTTTATGCTTCTTAATCTAGCTCTGGAATTTTGTGGCTAAGGTACTTTCCTAATCACCCTCCACTGGTATTATTTCTTTGAAGCACAGTCTTTAAATGTTGCACTTAATCCTACTGTGTTATAATTTCCTCTTTGAATACCTGTGTCTCCTCCTGGACTGTGGGCTCCCTGAGACCTGGAACTGTTTCTTACTGGTTTGTATCCTCAGTTTCTAGTGCAGTATTAAAAATATATTAGAACCATAAAAAAATGTTAAACTGAAATTCTATAACTCTCTTGAGTTACAAAGGGGAAAGCACCCTACATCCTCAGGAAAAGGCAAATTTTCTGGTCCCAGGATAATACTGTAAATTAGTGGAACTAGGGTGATACCCAGAAATCTGCATTTTTGGCAGACACCCAGTAAATCTCAAACAGGTAGTCCTCAAAAAGTCTTTAGAAAAATTAAAATACATCTATCCAGAGTTTTAACACTAACCCAAAGATGAAAAAAAAAATTGTCCTTTAAAACCTAGGAAAGTTCTGATGTATTTGGCTGTATTAAAATTTAAACTTTTATATGTAAGAAAATAGCACAAATATACTCAAAAAACAAACTAAAATTGGGAAAATGTTTATGATATTTTATATTTATGCTAGAGCTAATTTCATTGTTTTATAAAAAATTTAATAATGAAAAGGGATAACTAAAAGAAAAATTATGCATATAAAAATGTACAAAGAATATGGAAAGCCCAGAAAGAAAAATATACACTATTGGATATACAGCATAGGATAAGTTATAAAAAAACAAGAATTTGATCCATATTGGTATGTATCTATGTTGGTTTTGGAACTCAGTTCCTTCATTCTGCTCCACTAGGCCAACTGTTGGGTCCGAGCCCCTCTGCCAGGGGCTGGACCTCCTTGAACGCCAGGTATTCGATGACAGAGAAGCCATGAGAAGTTGTGGGTATATAAGAGAGTCTTTATTGTGGGAGCCAGTGGTTAAGTAGCCATTGCTAACAAGGAGCCACTAAACAAAACAGTTCTTCAAAGCAAAGTCCCATACAGTAGCCGTGCCCCAGCTGGGTAACAATACATCTTTCCCACACAGCAACAGCAGCCTCTGTACCGACAGCCATTATCTGAGCAGCCACACGCTGCCTGCTGGTCATTAACATTTTATACTACTTAGACAAAAGAGGCTTCTTGCCAAATAGTGACCTCAGTCTTTTGGGTTATAGAAGGGCACACTTGTGCAGTGTACATACAGATTACTGTGGCCTTGCTCTTGCACCTGTGTATAGCATCTTAGCCTTGAACAGTTGATTAAGATTCCCACACTCAGAATGGCCTTGAACATCCGGTGTACTCTGAATAGGCCCTCCACACTCTAATTGACCTTGAGCATCTGAATAGGGTCCCCACAGTTGGTAAATTGTTTTGAAAGAAGTTTTTGTAATGTCTATCAAATGTTAGATGCTTGTCCAAAAGTTACACACCTAGGAATTTACCCTCTGAATGTACTCACAAAAGCATGTGAGAGTATCCTCATCACATTGTTTGCAATAGCCACAAATGAAAAACAATCTAGAAGTACACTATGTGGTTCATCTATATACAGTGGAATATGCCACTGAAAAGAAAATAAGTCTAAGTACAGCTCCCAGACACATCAGGTTAAAAAAAAAAAAAAAGCATTGTAGCAATGTACATAGAATGTTCACATTGGTTAAAAATTTACAGGTACACATAAAATTGTTCTGGAATAATGCATGGTCATGATTTATGGGGGGCCCTTGTCTGTGGGCCTCTCATAGTGGACCCATGCCAGAGGAAGTTGCAGCCTCAAACCATTGCCCAGCCTCCTTACCCTTGGGCTGTGAGCACTGAAGGGGGCTGTACAGTATAAAAAAAAAATTGTTCTGGAATACAGTAACTAATTCTCACCTTCGGAAAGGGGTCTGTTTGTCAACAGTATTGTACTTTTCATTTTATCAAACCTTACACTTGAATTTGAACTAAATGTGAATTGCTTTTTATTTAAAATGTTTAAAATTATTTTAATGCTCCCTTGTTTGGACAGATACTTCTGAGGCTAAAAATAGTTGTTTTATATTGGTATCTCGTGTGTATGTGTGTTTTTGTGAATTTTAATGTTGAGCTATTTGTTTTATCAGGTGATTGCCCATTGATTGTTCAGTTTGCTGCTAATGATGCAAGACTTTTATCTGATGCTGCTCGTATAGTCTGTCCTTATGCGAATGGAATAGACATTAACTGTGGTTGCCCTCAGAGGTAAAGCTCAAAAGAAGTTGGAAGAATTTTCAAAAAGATTAGAAAAAACTATGTGAACATGGTAAACTATCTTTCTAGTTTTCCAATAATTAAAAAGTAAAGAAAATAGAGTTAAAGCACTTAAGCTCTAACTGAGAAGAGAAAAACAGGGAACATACACGCAGAGATATTTTCTGATGGCTAAAACAATGTATAGACCCTTGACAGCTGTTTTACCTCACCACTAGAATTTTTTAAAGTATGGATCTGCCTTGAACCTCATCCATAAGTAGCTATATGAGACACTGATGTTTATAGCAAATTCTAAAATGTATTTTTACTGTCATCTCAGACATATGTGCTCTAGAAACTATGGTTCTATGATTTGGGAGCTTACCACTTATTTTCTCCCAATTAATTTTCTGTATAAGAATACCTTCTTATAATTACCTTTCTTTCCCCTATACCACAATTATTTGGTTGGTTCTAAATAACTGTGTATTTGTAGGATGTACTTAATTTGACAATATCCCTATGTTTCTGACACTGTACTAGATTATCTGACAATAATTCAAAATGTGTCCAAATAATAAAATCAAGGTTTTAAATACAGCATAATCCAAATCAGATTAGACATATTTGTATGCTCATTAGGAGAGTTAAATAAGCTATTTAGTGGTGTTGGAATGCTATAAGCCAAACAACTCTCTATTAAGACTAATAAAACCTCTTATGTATAATAAACATCAAATTTGGAATTTAAAAAATCTGAAATAATTGAAATTAATTACAAGTACTTAAATCTGTTTTGGTTGAATGGATAGTAATTTAATTTTCTGACTTGCCAATGAAAACCATTTCCTAAGTACTTTTTGATCTGGGAACCTGTTTTCCAAATCTTAAATTGGTCCACTTAGAAATGTTGGGTCTATGAATTGTAAAAATCTGATTCCATTCAAGATTGCTAGATAGAGAAATAGTAGATGCACTTACAGTGCCTTTAGAAATGTATCTTCTTTTTCAACTACAGTTTATTTGTTGTTGTGTTTGCTTCATAAAGATGGGCAATGGCTGACGGTTATGGAGCTTGCTTAATAAACAAGCCAGAGCTTGTTCAAGATATGGTGAAACAAGTAAGAAATCAAGTGGAAAATCCCAGATTTTCAGTATCTATTAAAATAAGGTAAAAATATTTTAATCTGTGTAGTTCTTTACTTAGGAAATAAAAGAATATTCCTTCTTTTGGGGGCTGCAGGATTGTCTTTCTATCCTTAACTTGTAGATGGTGTATAGAAATGTTGAAACAAGATATTTAGTAAATGGATATATACAGTATTTTTATATATATATATATAGATATAATCCAGAGCAACTTCCTCTTTGTATTGTTTAACAGAAATGAAAACATCCCTTTATTATTAAAAACTTTTATCCAAGCCTGGCCAGTGTGGCTCAGTTGGTTGAGCGCCATCCCATGCACCAGGAGGTCACCAGTTAAGTTCCTGGTCAGGGACATGCTCAGGTTTCGGGCTTGATCTCCGGTGTGGGGCATGCAGGAGGCAGCTGATTGATGTTTCTCTCTCATCAATGTTTCTATCTCTCTCTCCCTTTTTTTGAAATCAATTTTGTAAAAAAATTTAAAAACTTTCCTCAAAAAGAAACCCTTAACTTTTTCTATGTACTACTTAATTAATGCTAAGATACAATCCTGGTACCAAGAGTAGAAAATAGGAATGGTATTTGCACTAACATTTCACAATGAAAATAAAATAAACCAGGAATCAGTTTTTTGGTGATAGGTTAAAAACATATTTCAAGATAAATGAGTATTATATTCTCCCACTTGAGGAATGGGCACACACAAGCAAATATTAGGATAGCATCTTTCAATTCATGTGTGTAGTATTTGGCTGACATTTTCAGTTTCGAAAGCCAAAGGGGAGGAGCACTAGGTAAGATAAAACTTGTCATCTTATTGTTGCCAATAGTGAAACAGCTACATTTGAAATCTTAAATTGGAACTGATCCCTGAGCAAAAAAAAACCCTTACTGATAGTGGCGTATAGTGATAATATGATGTAGAAAAATTACATGATGTTTTATATGACATATTATTTAGTTATTAATTTTAGCTTTGATTTGTGCTATAAAAAGGTGGCTATAATTTTGAAATTATAGGATCCATGATGACCTTGCAAGAACTGTGGATCTTTGTCGAAAGGCTGAAGCAACGGGAGTTTCCTGGATTACAGTCCATGGAAGAACTGTTGAAGAAAGACATCAGCCAGTTCACTATGAAGCCATTAAAATAATTAAGGAAAATATGTCTATACCTGTTATTGCTAATGGAGACATCAGAAGCTTAAAAGAAGCAGAAAAAGTGTGCCATATTACTGGGACAGAGGGTAAGAAAGAAGTACTTGAATTTTTGTCTTTTAACTAGCAAAAAAAGTGGGGGTAGGAGAATAATGTTAATGTTTTCATTATTTTTCTTTAAATTGGAACTATCTTTTTCTCTTGTGTTGGTTAAAGCTAAGCAATTTATTAAAATGATGCTTAGGAACAGTAGATTAGTTGAGGTAAAGTCATTCTTGTTACTGCCACCATCATATCCAGTGAAAGACTAGTTAAGAATCTTACAGATAGCCTATTAGTAAAATGGAACACCTAGACTAGAACTGAGAGTGAGCGAACACAAGAGTAGTCAAAGGAACCAAAAGAACCCCAGCCTTCTATGCAGTTTCATTATCCCCTTAAATTACTGGCAGACCAAACCCTGTGATACCTACTGCTAGGTGGGAGAATGCAGATAAAACTTAACTTCAAGCAAGCCCAATTTATGACAATTTGGATTTACCCTTAACAGAAAGCCTAAAGATTAATTGCTTAATGTAGAAGTCTTAATAAAATAAAAAATATCTGTAACTACCTTTAAACTTATAGAAACTTTAAAAAATTGTATTATAATTGAATTATACAGACTAATATCAGGGTATTGTGAAACCTTGTAATATACTTTATTTTTTAATATTCTCAGTTTGTTTGAGTGTGACCTTGTAACTATGAGTTCTTAATATGTGGATAAATGTTCTATGCTTTAATTTGCAGGTGTGATGGTTGCAAGAGGACTCTTAGCAAACCCAGCCATGTTTGCTGGATATGAGGAAACCCCCCTGAAATGTATCTGGGATTGGGTTGACCTTGCTCTTGAACTTGGAACTCCGTATATGTGTTTCCATCAACATTTAATGTACATGATGGAAAAGATAACTTCAAGGCAAGAAAAAAGAGTATTTAATGCTTTGTCAAGCACATCAGCAGTCTTAGATTACCTTACAGACCATTATGGGATGTGATTGGACTTCCTAAGTTGTTTTAATATGTACTTTAAAGGAATTGTGTTTTTAACATTTTTAAATAAATTTTTTTATTTTAATACTAAAAGTATGACTCAGTATCTGTAAGTTAACATGAAGTATGTTTTTAATAAGAAAAAGTGCAGAGAAATGACAAAACAAATGCCAACCTCTGTAAAATGAAAAGGAACAAGACATTCTGTATAGAATGCATTCAGGGCTTAGATTAAAAGTTCAAATTGAAAAATCAAAGTGTACTTCCTGAGATTTATATGTATGGTCACTGATGTAATGTCTAATTATGGGTGTACACTGGAAACTAATACAATATTGTATGTCAACTGTAACTGAAAAATTTAAAAATAATAAATACATAACATTTTAAAATACAAGTATAATGTAACCCTGGGAAATGGTCATAGGAAGAAAATACCCATGCCTACATTGTTTCCCTTTCCTATCAGTCTGCAAGCACCCTGAAGTTGATTGCCTCTTTCCAACCCATGGACAAGCGCAGTAAAACACAGAGTAGGTCTTCACTGTACTATTCCCAGTCTCAGAAGAACAAAATGTTGCTCAGCTACCCAATCCCGACCCTTCTATTTAACTACAGGTTATTTCTGGACAGTGAAACCGATTCTATCCTAAAAGGGCCTGAATAGAAAAGGAGTCCATTTCAAACGCGAGTTCGCAGAACTTACACCACCCTATCTAATCCTCCCCTTCGCGCCCTTTCCTTCCCCCCGGGCCCCAGGAAGCTCTATCAGAAAACTCCAGCCCTAGCCGGCTTGGCTCAGTGGATAGAGCATCAGCCTGCGGACCGATGGGTCCCAGGTTCGATTCTGGCCAAGGGCACATGCCTGGGTTTCGGGCTCGATCCCCAGTGGGGGGTGTGCAGGAGGCAGCCGATCAATGGTTCTCTCTCATCATTGATATTTCTATCTCTCCTTCTCCCTTCCTCTCTGAAAACAATGAACTATATTTTAAAAAAGAAAAGAAAGAAAACTCCATTAAGGACGCCTGCCACCCAAACCACAGTTTCAGAAATTGGAAGTCGGCACTTGGGAGCCCGAAGCACCGGTCAAAGAGGCTGATTCCTCTAATTCCATCTAATTCCATCGCCAATTAGAAAGCAATGATTGCTGACCCTCGCGTTCGCGCCGCCCGGGACCCCCGCGGGGACCCGAACCCGGGGCCGGAGCTGGACGCGCAGACAGAGCGGGCCCAGCGGCGGGTCCAGCTGCGCGCGGGGCGGGGCGCGCGCCCCTCCCTCCCCCGCGCGGCGTCTGACGTCGGCCGCGTCGGCGCCCACGGGCAGCGCGCGGAGCTGGCGGCCGCAGGCGGGGCTAAGGCCGGGCGTAACCCGGGGCCGCG